AACTCAACTCAGTCGTCTTATTAAAAAATTATTACAATGACATTTAATGTGACACTGTCTTGTTGCTGCATCACGCTTGATAGCTTTACGACGCCAAGATTGGAAGATTTTCTAAATGGGCATCACTAATCCTAGTTCTAGCTTGTTCTTTGTAATGTTCATTTTCGAAAATAATTGTTCGCACACATATATACTTCCAAACATCGAAATGAATGTTATCGCATGGTTTGTCAAATTTTGATAAAGATATTTCTTTAAGAAGGTACACTCTTACAAAAATTAAGCAGTGATGAATCCCTCGAATAGAATATGAATTTAATTCTTTATCGCATTGCAATATATTCTAATATTTACTGCGCTATTGAACACCTGCACTCAGCATCAACTTTTCTGCGTGTTTCTTATTGTCTAATTATAATTGAATTGTAGGCTCGTTAAACGAGTAGCTGTTTTGTCTGAACGTGCCTCACGATAAATTCTGTTACATAAAGAAATGTAATTTACTCCTCGAGCGTAGATTGTAAATAAAACTAATTCATCGCCAAAACCGCCGTTGGATGTTTCCCCGGGCATAGACTTCCTTGTTTACTTCGTGACATTGGCCATTCAGCAAGATGCAAAAATAAACGTAACAATGCCCCCATTTCTCACTCAGACAGATTTTCAGGCGTGGTCGTGAAAATTACCTCATTTTGGCGTTTTTGAATTATATTCGTTAGTTTTTAGTTGTTTTTCGAAAATTTAAATATAAATAAATTAAGTCAATGATCACTTTGTCTCCCCAGAAGTTTCAGTAGGCAAAAATTTGGTGTAGAAATATCTTTGATAGACTAGGCTAAAATTCTTTACTGGTACTTTTAAAAAACAGATTGTTGAATAGTATGAATTAGATTTTAGAATGATAGTTTGAAACAAATACCCCGTTTTACAGGCAACAACTCGCAAAATCACTCTTAAAATACGCACCGAAAATTTTAAAATGGTAAGTATAGGAAAATTTTCTGATTATTTTACTTCGGCCGCCGTATTTTGCCGACCACTGGGATACGCAAACGACCGTATCTTACTGCGAAGACGAGTCCAGCAATCGTTTCGCGTGTGATAATCGCCTACGTGATTCAAACATACGAAAGCATGCAGAGTACAGTAATCAAGTGCACGATGCGCCGAACAAAAACAGGTTTCGCGAAATCGCCCCCCCTCTGTAGCGTTATCGCCCACCGGGGGCAATATGGCCCATTTTGGGAATCACTGGTCTATACTATACGTACAGCCAACGGCACAATATGGAATAATCATTTTTAACAGTCAAGCAAAACGGAAACGTATAATCTGACTTGCAACTGACAGGAGCGAGCTGGACGTTTTTTTGCCGTCCAGTAAACAAAGTCACGTGACCCGTGCAAGTCCTCTATGCAGCGTTGCCCAAACTGCGTTCCGAGCGTGTTCCGTGGGGGAGGAATCAAAAATTCGTCTAAATTGGTCGTCATTGCGATCTAGGGATCGTGAAGTTGTCGCCTAACTGACACTGACCATTCATTATCGCGTCATCGTCGGCCTAAAGCGGACTAACTGATTGCAATTTGGCATTAGGTGACTCCAATTATAATCAGCTTGACGATATCTTTTGAGGAATATTTTTCTATCCACAGTATATAACTCTTGTTGACTAATTCGGTATCCAATTTAGCTATCCTCATAAAATTATTTATTTGGTGTGGCAAAAGAATTTATTCATTGTTTTTATTTGTTTTTTATATTATTTTTTTTTACTGAGTAATTTAATTGATTTTAAGTCTCGCTTTTTTCACTTCCACCCTGTTCATGTCTCAATGATTGTATGAGTGTGTGTGTGCGTGCTTTAATTCGTTTTTATACTATTGGGTGAGCGAACACGTACTACTTTTTTGTTATCAATACCTTTTCTATCTAAATTCTGTACGCTTCAAACCTTACTTGAGGTTTTGTTTGCTCTACCGATTCTATAATCAGTTATTTTTTGTCTTTATCTATTATTTTATCGTCCACTGCTGATTATGGAGTCGGAAAAAACTTATACTTATAACTAAGGTAAAGTAGTGGAAATTTCGATAACCGTCGGCGTAGCTTTTTGGCTGTTAAGTTCATTATCAAGTTTACAGCAATCATTTTGGTTTTGCTACAAGTAGGTCTAAAGAATAAAGGCAAAAAGTCAACTCCTCTTCCTCCATTTTTGCCTGGTTTTACTATGAAATGCTGAAAATATTACTAATGTTCGCTAAATTCGATTCAGCAGATAAATAAACTGCAGGTCTGCAGCTTCCGAAATTGCAGCAAGTACTTCTATCTCCATTGGAGGCAAACACTACGTGATGGACATAGTAAACGACATAGAAAGGTAAAAAAAATGAATTTGGTGATTATTGATTCATATACACAGCATTTAAATTAAGAAACAATAAAACATTTATAATAAATGAAATATGTAAAATATTTTATCATTTTTCAGATATGTTTATTAAAACGTAGTAGTATATATTTACGGTTTAACACAAATCTGTTAGTTTTCGCGGCGCATTTGTTAACTCGTCACGGCGAACCCATTGGGAACCGCTACATGACAGCGTTTTTCTCTATCAATTTTATCTTTTCACTTTTTGGTGTTCCGCGAGGCAAGATAAAAAGTGTAGGTCTTCCGTGGCCGGAAAAGTTTGGGAAACGCTGCTCAATAGGAAGAATTTTCTGGGGTGAAGGGTCGTGGAAACGTCCACAGACATAAAAAAAAGGCCGGAAAAAGTCCAAACACGAAACGAAAATTCTGATGCCAAACGTATTTTGAAAAAACAAAATGTTAAATTTAGCGGTGAAAAGTGAATATGGCAGCCCTGCCCCACTGATCAGTGAATCGTTGCTGGCAGGAGCGAAAGTTATGGAAGCATTGATGAATTAATTCGTTTAGGAATCACCTTTGTAGGTAGAAAATTCTGAAAGTAAGGGCGCAGTTTACACATAAATGCCCTAATTCGTTCTAAGCCTACACAAAACTCGGACATAACTTTTGTATAAATTATGATACTGGGTAAACCCGTAACAATTACATGTTAGAATTAAATTACCACATAATAAATAGAAAATGTACACATAGAAAGAATAGAGAAATAACTAATAAAAACTACGAACGTAGACCGTGGAGAGTGAGAGGGCGGCGTTCGGAGTTTTTTTATTATTTCATTTTGCTCACACTAAACCATTCAATGATTCAAATGAGTTAACCCGACATAATTTGCTTTTAGAATTATTGTTGAGGCCGCACAAACTATCTCGACTAAATTTAAATATACGATAATAATTTCGAATATATATTATTCGTAAAACATTTTCAATCAAAAACATCCTCGACGTATTATAAGCAATTCAAGTCAGCGCTAATTGAAATCTTTTCAGGTGGCTGTAATTTATTGCCGTGCGTACACGGCTGCCTTCGATATTCGAAGGTCGCGATATTCGAATTGAACATCCCTTATTCAAGCACTGCATTAAATCAATCTCAAATAACTCTACACGCGGTATGTAAGTTTTCGGTCTTCTGTATGTTGAAAATCTGAAAAGATCCGACTATTTTTACGAGTGGCGTAATTCGGCGAATGTTTTAGGACCCATTCATGTAAATTTCCGAATCCTGATCTCCAGACCGCTTTGAAAATCTTGGCTGTGCCACTGAAAGTGTGTATTGTAACATGAGACTAATCGACTCATTTTTATGACATTTTGTGCCGGGATAATATGCAAAAGTTAGGTTAATCATGCTTAAGATAAGTATTTCGCAAGCCTTCATACACGGAAATTATAGGGGAATCCATCCTCTAAGAATCAATCGATTTTTACGATCACCTATATTTATCAAGATCCTCATTGGCAAAATCATTGAGCTGAAGTTACAAACGTTCTATTACTACCGCACAGGCGCGGCGGTGTGGCTCAACGGGCTAAGCGTTAGGAATACGCTCGCCACCGCACCTCTAATTACTCTGCGTGGGTTCGCAGGTTCGAATCCCATGCAGGGATGGTTATGTGCGAGAGGATTGCTGGACTCCTCGCCGTCGTTGGGTGGTTCACGTAACCGCTGGTCGGTAACGGCTTCCTCCACCACCAAGTCCATGCTTCCGAAAAACAAACAATACAGTAAAAACTAATCCCATACCCGACTTGGAATGGTAACCGGACGAGAGGCCGTGGTTCGCCATATGGATAAGCCGTCTTATCGGCTTTCCTCTCCCCCGGGATAAATATGTAAATCCTATCCTATCCTACCAAACATCCCACGTATCGTGCTTCAAAACATTAGATTTTTACAAAGTATGGTTGTCTCTTCACCCATTAATTCCCATGCATTCGCCTACAAGAAATGCGTCGGAACAGAAGATCAGTCAAGCGTTCACTATCTGCAGCATAACAATGGTAAGACAATGGTCATTTTGATTCATTGTTAAGGATAGGATAGGATTTACATATTTATCGCCGCGCCGATCAACTATCAATGATGGGAGTGGGTGATGTTTTTTTTTGCACAAAACAATGAAGATCGGCCCCCGCCGAAAGCGCCAGAGAGTACGAATAACAAAAACGATCACGTGCCAGATTCGAATTTCTTGGCGAGGCGATTAATACAGTATAGGAACTGATGCCGCTCTGGAGCTTTGATGACTATACAGTACTGGTACCGGTACCCGACCTGGACTGGTAACCGGACGAGGGGCCGTGGTTCGCCATATGATTAAGCCGTTCTATCGACTTTCCTCTCCTCCAGGATAAATATGTAAATCCTATCCTATTACAGCAGTAGGGCGAACCATGGCCTTTTGTCAGCTTGTCCAGTCACCATTCCATGTCAGGTGAGGTACCGGTACTACAGTACTAGTTAAGTTAGTCTATTTGTTTTCATAAGCATGGACTTGGAAGCCGTACTGGTACCGGTAACCGACCAGCGGTTGCGGTGACGGACTACCGGTACGGTACCGGTACCGTACCATACGTCAGTAAGTACCGTAAAACCGGCTAACTTCGGATGATTTCACTATATTTTGAACAATATCTCCGCCGCATGTTGTTCAACTGAAGCCAAATTTGGAATATAATACATTGTGGCTATTCTCGTCTTGATAAAGTCGGTTCCATATCCATCAAAGCCTTTTTTCATTGAAATTATTGTCTTTATTCGTCTATTCTAAAATTATCTAACTTCGGATGGCCACTTTTCTCTTTGCGTCAACTCGTCGTGAGAGAGAAATGTCTGCGTAAGCAATGACGCGTGACAACGTCGCTGAATAGACCTTACGCCGCCACGACCTGTCTTGCGTGTTGAATACTGACGTTTGTACGTGACGTTACTCTTGCCGCTTCGCGAAGCTTAACTATTTATTCTTGTGTCCTTTATTATAACTCGTATATATTTCACTAACTACTCCTAATTTATTGCAAAATGCTAGTTCGTTCTTTTAGGATCGTTTATTTTCAATGCAAGAAAAGGATTAACAAAAAAAAAAAACGGAAGAATTGGAAGTACCTAACACTGGTGTAGGTTGAAATTGAAATGCAATATGGAACAAGTAAAGAATGAACAAAAATTAGACAATTAAAAATAAACGGATGAATCGAATGAAACACTGGCAAAAGTAAAAATTGAAATCAAAAAGCAATATGGAACAAGTAAGATATGAACAAAAATTCGACAGTTAAAAATAAACAGATGAATTGAAGGAAACGCTGGCAAAATCAAGAATTGTAATCATTTCCACATGGGTTAGACGGGTCTTTGCAACAGTTCTTGTGGAACCAATGTGTTTCGCTGCAGCTTTCGCAACCGACCCATTCATCCTCAATTTCCGTACTTTCATTTGGATCATTCCATAATCCACAAGCAGAGCAGGTTTTGCTTGATTATCACTTTTCATATTTTCTGATTTTCTCAGAGCTCCCCGTTGATCGGCTCGGCAGAGGTTCCTGCCCGGTGTGACTTTCGATCCTCGCTTTCGTTTCACTTAATAAAGTCAAATGACAATAAACGGATAAAAACGGCAAAAAGAAACTTTGCCACTTTTTTTCATTTTGCGCCTCACCTGTATGTGGTCCAACCTCCTGCTGTGTGCATGTATGTAGAGTTCTACGCTCACCTGTTAAAGATATTATTATCATCTGCCGATCGTAAACAGACATATCTAATCATTATGATCGTATAGATACATGTTTCAGGCCTAACGTATTACCAATTGCTACAGTATCTGTCGGAGGAAGTATGCAAAAACAAAAATCGACAAATTTCATATGCATTAAGCGTATGCATACCCATATTTTTAAATAAACAACATATGACTGAGACAGTGATGTTTTTGTAGGATTTAGTGACTAGGATCATGGATAAGCATAATTTTTAAATTTCACAAAACTGGGCGCCGCGATGTCTGGCGTTCAAATGTCGCAGCGAGTAACGCAAAGTGACGTCGGCTACGAAGAGAGAGAACGGGATTTGCGTCGTTGACGTCACGCTGTACGTAATCATCAAAACGTCGATATTTTGATGTAATTTTTAAATCAAAATAATCGATTTCACTTGAATCTCGTACGACGCCTTGTGATCACTGTATTTTTTTGTATACATTGTGTACGCTCTCTAGCGCTTGGCGGTGATTTGACGAAGGTAGCGTCTGTAGAAGTCACGATTTGAGCCGCTCGAAAAAACGGTGTCATTTTTTTGGTAAAATATGATTTTTTGAATGATAAAAAATCAAATCGAGCGATTGGAGGCTACGGCAGATTCAGATATGTAAGGCCTTACTATAGAAACCGACAGAAGCGCAATACGACGAAATTTAGTTGAGATATGAATGATTGAAAATTTCATCCGAAGTTACAAGGCATCCGAAGTTAGCCGGTTTTACGGTATGTGAACCACCCACGGCGGCGAGGAGTCCTGCAATCCTCTCGCACATACCCACCTAACTAGGCTATCTCTGCACACCGCAAATGGATTGGAGTAGCCTATTTCAGTATTTGGTTGTAGGCTAGCTATTAAGTACGGTACCGGTACCGTACTGCAGTACAGCACACTATCCAAATTCCAAAAATTTCCTTCCATTTGGCTCAATAAAACAAACACTCCATGTGTCTCACAAACGAGGGCTTCATATCACGCCATGCTTGTCTCAATAATAATCTAAATTAATTTTCGTTTTTTGCTAAAAACTCTCGAATGCTCCGTAAAATTTTTTTTCTTTCGGTACATCAGATTTTTTTTCCCAAGGAATTCAATGATGGCGTTACTAGATTGCACCTTTTTGTAGTATTTTGCGCAACTTCATTATACTGTATTATTACCGATATTGAGGGACAACAATGTTCAGAAGTCTCCCGAAAGAGGGGTGTCTGATCATCTGTAAAATGGGTTTCTCTGAAACGGGACAATGTCACCCGATTTGTATAGTGTGCCGTACTGTACTGCAGTACTGTCAACCATGACCAGGCGTTGTTGCAAAATTGAGTAGTGAATTATGTAACAAGAGAAATACCGGTTACGGTACCGGTACCAACAAGGAGCCTACAGATACCCAAACAGACTACCGGTATGCCAGTCTGGATTTCATGGCCTTTTTGAACGAGAAATCGGGCGGGCAATCAGAAATTCCCGGGTGCAAATAAGAATTTCTGGCGTGCAATTATAGCTCATGGCGTGCAAAACAACTGCGCCCGCGTGAAACTGACTTCGATCTAAGATACCTCTCAATACATCCGCGTAAAATTACCGGAATTGGATAAAAAATATGTTGAATCATAGCAAAAATGGACGTTTGACCTTTGACCCCTAAACATTATTTCTACAGTTTGTTGCTAATTTTGAGAGTGGTTGTGCGACTTTGGTTACCGGTACTGTTCAGTACATCCGAGTAAAATTATTGTATGAAAAATACGCTGAATCAAAGCCATAACTGGCCAGCGTCGGCGAGGAGGCGATCTTTCTCACGGGAATCCTGTCATTCAACACGATATGGTGTTTTTTGCTTCGCATTTTTCGATCAGGCCAAACTTGCAATCTGGTATTAGTCGACAATTGTGAAGTTATAATTTTTTGGCATCTTTATATTACTAGATAATTGATTTACAAACTATTTAAACCGATTTACATTAATGAGCAATTGCAAATTTTCGGCATGCAAAAATGAATACGCTCGCAGGCATTTTTGTGGAGCGCTAGCGCCATCGGGCGTGCATCTGCCATGGAATCCAGTCTGGCCGGTATGCAAAGATGAGAAGGGCATTTACGCAGCATAACAGAATCAAAATATATTGGATCAGGACTATGACAGTACAGTACGGCACACTATACAGATCGAGAGTCTTTGTCCTGTTTCAGAGAATCCTATTTCAAATAAGAATCGAAGCCCCTTATTCGAGGGATATCTGGTGGCTGATGTTCCTCAATATCGGTAAAAATACAGTAAAACAAAGTTGTGCATTGAACTGAAAAAAAGCGCAAGCTATGACCATCACCATTGGATTCCTCAGGGAAAAATAATCAGATCTACTGAAGGAAAAAAATTTTATCGAAGCATTTGAGAGAAATGAGCAAAAAATGATCGGCCGCTTTTGACGTCACTGAATTTCAATCGACGCACGCAGGCACGCATCAGCCGTCTCTCGACGCAAACCTTGGCGTGTTTCCCTCATTTTCATTGCAGATAGGATGGCGTATTCATATGTCGAAAATGTTCAATTTGCGTAATATATACTAGTATAGATCGGTCAAAAACAAGATTCAAATTAATATAATGCCGCATCGATACATTCACATGCTGCAAATGTTTAACTTGAAAATTTACGGTATATGAGAATAATTTAATTCATTGCCCAAATGTTAATTCATACGAAAATAATTTAATTCATATGCCGCAAATGATTCAATAATGGATCGGCGAAAAACAAGAATCAAATTAGCAAAATAATTTAATATCATGCCGCATCGACGTATTCATATGTCGCAAATGTTTAATTTGCGTAATTTATACTAGTATAGATCAGTCAAAAACAAGATTCAAATTTATATAATGTCGCATCGATACATTCATATGCCACAAATAGAGGCATGGGCATGACGAGAAAAATGATTTAAATCATTTTAAAGTCAAACTTTTTTCTGTCTCAGAAATTTACGGTATATGGGATTTATTTAATTCAATGCCACATCGGGGCAATCATATGCCACAGATGAAAAACTAGAATCAACTTGGCAAAATAATTTAATCCAATGAAGCATTGAGGCTTTTATTTTACTATGGATTGTTGATGCTCAAATTTAAATAAAAATCTCGAAGCTAAGTTTCAGTTCTAAATAACCGAAGATGCTATGTTAAATTGTTGTAATTAATAAAGGTATAGACGGAATACAAAGTTTCACTATCGATATTAATTTAACTATTGAAAAAAAAAACTTCGATATCGTGCATCGTTTTGACTTCGTTGTACGGCAATTCAAACGATGGATTCACGAAAACTTATAAAAAAAATCAGTTGGACTCGTATTAATGGAAACGCCTAATTTTGTAATCCCCTGATCTTATTTAAAAGTAATTATATTATTTACAGACTTTTGCATTTACGCGCCATTATTTTAATAGGCACTACCAACATTGAACTGAATAAAATGGTTCAGAAATACATCGTATATGTAATCACACAGCACATAGGGCAGTACCAGTCTGGATATCATGGCCTTTTCGAACGAGATATCGGGCGTGCAATCAGAAATTCCCGAGTGCAAATAAGAATTACTGGCATGCAATTATAGCCTACGGCGTGCAAAACAACTGCGCCCGCGTGCAACTGACTTCGACATTAGATACCTCTTAATTCATCCGCGTAAAATTACCGGTTTGGATAAAAAATATGTTGAATCATAGCAAAAATGGACATTTGTCCTTTGACTCCCAAACATTATTTCCACAGTTTGTCACTAATTTTGAGAGTGTTTGTGCGAATTTAAATACCGGTACTGTTCAGTACATCCGTGTAAAATTAATGTACAAAAAATACGTTGAATCAGGCCATAACTGGCCAACGTCGGTGAGGAGGCGATCTTTTTGCCCATAACTGTTCTCACAGGATTCCTATCATTTAACACGATATGGTTTTTTTTACTTCGCATTTTTCGATCAGGCCAAATCTTGCAAGCATGTATTAGTCGACAATTGTGGAGTTATAATTTTTTGGCATCTTCATATTACTGAATTATTGATTTAAAAAACATTTAAACCGATTTACATTGGCGAGCAATTGCAAAATTTCAGCGTGCAAAATTGAATTCGCTCGCATGCATTTTGTAGAGCGCTAGCGCCCTCGGGCATGCGCCTGCCTTAGAATCCAGTCTGGGGGCAGTATACATCGGTGAGAAAACGAAAATTGAATTAGCAAAATTCGAGAGCCGTGCTGATCTGTGTGTGACTTTCTGTGACGTATACCCAGACATCTGACGTCACCTCTCGCCGACTCGACAGCCCTCATTTCAGAGACGTGCGTGTATTTTTTTGTGTTTCAAATACGGCCACAAATCCGGAATCGGGATAGTGTGCCGTACTGCAGTGAGGCACACTATTCAAATTCCAAGAATGTCCCGTCATTTGGTTTAATAAAACAAACACTCAATGTGTCTCACAAACGAGGGTCGTCTGGCACAACGGCAGATTCGTCATATCACGCTATGCTTGTCTAATAATCTAAATTAATCGCAGCCGTCACATGACCAAAATTGCCGTTTTTTGTTCAAAACTCTCGAATGCCACTGTAGAAAATTTTTTCCTTTGGTAAATCGGATTATTTTATCCCGCGAAATTCAATGATATAGAGTTTTAGATTGCGCTTAACTTCTTTTTTTACCAATATTGAGGACAACCATATCCAGATGTCCCCCAAAAGAGGGGCGTCTAATCATCTGTAAAATGGGTTTCTCTGAAACGAGACAATGTCACTCAATCTGTATAGTGTGCCGAACTGTATGAATAAGAGAATTGAATTGAATATGGAATAGAAATTCAACTAACGGCAGATTCTGCAAAGTCTACATGAGATATAAATGGGAATTCGAACAATCACTTTGGTACCATATATTCCAGTATTCATAAAACAATGTAGTTTTTCATGGCTTTTCATGGCTTCTCGTCACCATATCACATACACCTACACCCGTTGTCTTCGTATCAGATTGAATTAGTTTTTATTGGCCAGCGTATTTTTGAAGTACAACAACCTGAAAGTGTAATACATACACATATTTTGTGTGTGTTCATTTCTGGCCCAAGCCTTGTTTAACAAGATTTGTGTTATTTTTTTTTTATAAATGCTTGTG